GTCTCTCTCTCCCTTCCTTGCTCTCGCTCTCTGTCAAGGTCTGTCGCCCTTGTTTTTTCTCGATGTCTTTTCCGACTTTCGGTTTTTTACAGATTTGTTTGGCGTCTGAGACCCAGTTCGTCGTTCAGCTCAATCTCTCATTTTAAAGAAGCCGCTGACGCATCTAGCTTTTTTGGCAACTATCGTCTATTTAAATCTGGTCAAAATATTTTCTACACCAAACCTCGTGCTCGAGTTTCTCAGAAAATTAGCTTGCAAAACCGTTCGACCCCGCGTCCCGTATCTCCCATGATCTTCACCAGCTCTCCGAAAATAGATTGCCTCCTTGCGGCTTCACCCCCTAAAATAGGGATTCTAATTCCATCCCCTCCTCCATTCCATAACCGACCAAAAAGCCGCCTCGACACCGTGACGAGAGTGACGCAAAAAATTTCAAAAACTGTCAATCAAATTAGGCAGTTGGTCTTGAGGGGATCATAAAATGAAGCCGGCTTCATCTTGGTCTCCATCATTCTCAAGGGGACCAAACACAATTTTTCGGTCTTCTTGGGGCCCAAATACACTTGGGCCGCGCTGGGTCTCCACCCATACCCTGACAGCACGCACACGCTGGATGGGATGAATTTTTGAGCATCAGCCCCAAGGAGAAGCTGATCGTGGGCCTTTCCGGGGGCGTCTATTTGGCTATTTGTGTTATTTTATGACTTCTGGTCTCATTTTAAATTATCTAAACTGCAATATTTTTAACTTCGGCTAGGAACACTTTCGATTTTGGGACTTAAAGGTTCGCGCAAGTCATCAGTATCGATTTTTGCTGTCGAAAACTTCGCGACAGGATTGCCGTGCCCGCGACAGGCAACGCGCCTCCAGACTTCTCCTAACGTACGCGTTGCGTGTCGCGGGAAGAGGTATCTACCGCGCGCGCCTGCTTTAATTTTGCATCATTCGACACCGCTTTCTTTTACGGCAACAATTTCGACATTGAAGACGGGTAATCTTGCGTAATTGGTTACGTAGTCCGCTGCCTGCCTGTTTCTGTCAAATCCATAAGCCTTGCCTTGCCTGTTCCTTTAAAGAGGTCGTAATCCCCTTCCTTTTTGGTCCTTGCTGCCTTTTTTATGGCTCTTATAGTCCATTTTCCTATTCAGGAAGAATTCAAGGGCTAATCAACGTGTTTTTATCGTATCAATGCTGTCTGGACCTAGTCGAGGGTAGAGATAGATTTTCGCACTTTCCTGTACCTGTAAAACCCAAAATTTTGCCTGTTGCGCTGCTCTTTCATAAGCCCATTTGTCTCGGCTGCCCCGCCACCCCAAAAATATAGGGTTTGGCCTGGAATGCCGTCCGGCAATTAAGCATCCGGTGATGATGGGCCCGGATGGCGTGTCTATCCTTTTTCGGATGGCCTCTAGGAGGGGGTGGTGGCGTTCAGTGGTGGTTATAGTAAAAACGGGCAATTTATATGGTGCCCTTCGTCAGAGGTTTCTTAGGATGATGCGATTGGCGTGCTATTTGGTGCTCAAGACACTGTTGTGAGAGACGGTCTTTCAAAACCTAAATTTTTGAAGTTAATGAAGCTTTTGAAAAGTGTCGTTTCTTCACAACTATGTCGCCAGTTATTAGAAATTTTGGTGCAGTAACCAGGTCAGAAATCGCGAGATTCGAAGCTTTTAGTCCGCCAGATATCGGCAGCTACACTTCACTCCAAAACACGGCACCAGGTGTACTTGCCAAGGTATAAGAAACTCCTTTTGAATCCCTCTTTGAAAGGTTTTTTGGTGCGGGTGTAGCTGTCTAGACCCAACCTGAGGGACCCGTCGATTTTCGAGGTATCCTCCCTTTAAAGGACCGGGCAAATCAGCCTAAAAAATCGCTATGGTTTTGCCGCGAGGGCGAAAACCTAAAATGGAGAATCCATGACTAAATATGCAAATCCGTGCCTTGCGCGCCCCTTTAATTCACAAGATGAGGTCACACGCCAGATTTTCTCCGTCCAACTAGACTATTTCCAGAAGTGCTACTCCAAAATCTAGACAAATCGCTCTTCCCCTTCCTCTTCCTCCTTCTCCCCCGCCCTCATTGGCAGAAAGCAGCTATCTCTCCGGGGCCAATCTCAAGCTCTCGGCGCCCTCGTGGCCCCTACCAGGCCCCGGCCACGTTTTAGCAATTAATCGCCACGGGCCTTGTCCGACTTCAACAATTCCGGAGGGCCAGCCACAAATTCGGCGTTGTCGGGGCGGTTAGAAGAAGCCCCTCAAAAACTCGGCGAATCGTCACCCCCTTTGGGCCCTAATTTCCATCTCGGGGGCCCCAAGGGGATGCGCGATGGCAATTGTTTTCGTGCTGTTCCGAGACTACACACGTCGTTTTTAGTTTGTTTCCGGTGCTATTCGGATTCGTTAGGAAGGGTACAGAGTTTAACGTTTTATTTGGTTTGCTTGGACTATTTTTTCGCATTTCTCTCTTTCTATCTCTCTCTCTCTCTCTCTCTCTCTCTCTCTCTCTCTCTCTCTCTCTCTCTCTCTCCCTCCCTCTCTGTCTTACTGAGCCATCTTTCCAATGAATCTAAATTACTATTTCCTACATTCCCTAATCCTTACTCGATCTCTAATTGCCGCTTCACTTTTACTTATTCACTACGCCATGCTCTCCTGAACACACACTTTTTAAGAGGTAATATCCCGGGATTAGACGCGTTTCCGGGTTTTCCAGACCATCTTGATTTTCTTGGTATTAACAACTTCCGGTGGCCGTTTGCCATTTGCGGGGAATCTAGTCTCATCGGATCGCTTTGAGATTTTTGAGCATCATTTTGGTGGTATCAGAATATTCCGATTTTCAATGGTTTCAATTAATGCCCATTGTTCTCAAGCTAAGAATTTGCATTTTTTATTTTGGAGAGAGAGACCGGGAGAGCGAGAGAAATAGAGAGAGAGATCGAGGGAGAGAGAGAGAGAGAGAGAGAGAGAGAGAGCGAGAACGAGAGAGAAGATTTTTTAAATTCAGTCCCCTCCAAAATGTCTTTTGAAGTGAGATGTTTTTGAAGAGTACATACGATATAAAAAAGTACATCTCTTCTATTCCGTTGACCCCGCCAATTTTCCGATTCATTCTCGCTAATCACCGGATGCGAGGCTATAATTGCATTACAATTTTTGGCAAATTGGCTCCTCCTTTAAAAACGCGTGGGCATAATTGGGTAATTTATAATTATTAATTTTTAATTCCATTAGCGAAATTTGACTTTTTATTTTATTTTTTTGAGCTAGAGTGAAAGAGAAAAAAGAAATGCGGAGAAAACGCTAGAATGCGTGATTTTCGAGCTCCATTTTTTTAATTTACACCCTCGGAAACCTCAAAATTTACTAAAAAATCCCTTGGGGGCTAAGCCTTTGCAATACTTGACCAAAACAAAGAAAAATCCATCACTTGTTATTTTGGCAATTTGGGCTACATTTGGGCTTCTATTATTCAAATGGCGCTGTTCTTTGAAGTCATTAAGGCCGTGTCATCTCTCTCTCTCTCTCTCTCACTCCCACTCCCGTAATTTGGCAATTCCAGGAATGTTCTGCAGACATTAGGCTTGTACTGGTGGTGAGGGCCGAAGTATTCTGCGCTACTAGGCGACGATGGTGCACGACTTGTTGCTGATGCTCGTCCTCAGCTGCAATACCTTACTCACCGAGACGCAGAGCATAGTTGAGGTGAGCTTTTCGTGTCTTTAAAAGGACCAGTAAGTGATACAAAACAGCCCATTGGGCGGTTAGGTGTCGACATCTGGGCGGCATGTAAATACTATTCTAGCTTTAATGCCCTTTAAAAATTTTGACAATGTTTTGGTGCTGAAAAATGCTTTGGAGATTTAGTAAATAGCTTAAAATTAGTGGCGCGTTTTCTTAGTCGCGGCGTTTTCCGGCTTCTTTCGTAGTCTTGGCTAAAAATTAAATTTCCTTGATTCCAGATAACGCCTCAGGACACCACCCCTTCCGAAGTCTGCGAGTACAACTCGAACCAGCGCAAAAGTCTTTTGGCCGAGATCATGCACGAGTACGACAAGACTGTCGTGCCATCGAATGAGAGTGTGGTCGTCTCGGTGGAATTGACTGTACAGGTTGTGTTACGGAATTTAATGTTTAATTCTCATTCAGGATATCTCATCAATCTCTGAGATCACCTCCTCGTTCATAGCGGATGTTTGGTTTTCACAAGTCTGGACGGATTCGCGGTTGGAGTATAAGTGAGCCTTGAAGCCTCGTTTTGGGCTTAGAAAAAGGCTTAAACGTAAACTTGGGCTTCGGCTTCGACTTAAAGGGATGCCGACGACATAGTCAATCGGTTACGCGCTGAAAAGAAAATGTCTCTGCGCCTCTCCCCAGGGCGCGCTCTCTCCCCTGTTGGCTACTTGCCAATTTGTTGATGAGGGGGGATCGACACATGCCGTCGGCAGCCCTTTAAGCTTAAGTTTAGGCATAAGTTTGGCCTTGGGCTTAAGACTAGGCTTAGGTTTAAGTCTAGGCGTAGGTTTCGGCTTTGGGTTATGCTTAGGTATATCGGTATGGGCAAGCCATCAGCGTTTTTTGAAAAGGCGGAACGATATTTTTCAGAAACTTTTCCTGCAAAACGAACCTGTCCCTCGACTCCTCCGTCAGTGACAAATTGTGGACTCCGAATGTCTGCTTCGTCAATAGCAAAAAGACGGAAGTGCACAAGAGCCCTGCCTCAAATGTGTTGCTGATTATATACCCGAATGGTAAGTCGTTAAGAAGACTCGGCTGACACCATACGGTAATCTGTACATTTGCTTTTGAAAGACACAAAGAATACCCCAATTTTTTTTAGGCACTGTCTGGCTGAACTATCGTGTCCGTGTGGAAGGCCCATGCCGATTCCACCTCGCCAATTTCCCCATCGATAATCAAGAATGTACCCTGATCTTCGAATCGTATTCCTATAACGTGGCCGAAGTGCGGTTACGGTGGCAGGATTGGAGCCCGGTGACGATGCCGCCGCCTGATGATTTTCGGTAAGGAAAGAGGGAGGGAAGAACTCTCGCTAGCTCTCTCTCGATCTCTCTGTCTCTCACTCTCTCGTTGTAGTCCTCTCTCTTCCTCTCCCTCTCCCTCTCTCTCCCTCTCTCTGTCCCTCGCTCTCTCTCTCTCTCCCTCTTCAAGCGCTATTTTTCAGATTACCGGACTTTCAATTCTACAACGTCACGTGGGGCATGACCTCCAACGAGTATACTGCCGGCATGTGGGACCAGCTTGAAGTCACTTTCAGGTTTATCGACTAGCGATCCTTTTACCTAAAAGTTCCTTCAGATTCAAACGATTATACGGGTATTACGTGCTGCAGATGTATCTGCCCACCTATTTATCGGTGTTTATTTCGTGGATCGCGTTTTGGGTAGATACGCGGGTGAGTGATACGAGAGAAAGAGAGAGAGAGGGCGAGAGAGAAGGAGAGGGAGAGAGCAAGTGAGATGGAGAGAAAGTAAGAGAGGAGAGAGATGATGTCAGCAAAAATTATCATATTTAGGCCCTTCCGGCCCGGATCACTTTGGGCGTCAGTTCGCTGATGGCTCTAACATTCCAGGTCTGGCAAAATGGACGAGTTTAACTCCTTTACTTAATTTTAGTTCGGTAACATTGTCAAAAATCTTCCGCGCGTATCCTTCGTCAAGGCCATCGACCTGTGGTTCTTCGTCTGCGTCGCGTTCATCTTCTTCTCGCTCGTCGAGCTGGCGGTGGTCGGATTTGTGGACAAGTGGGTTTGATGACAATCAACGTTACAAAAAATGATTTTGAAAAAAACTTAGTTGCTTCAAAAAGCTTGAGAGCCTAAGAAGCAGCTTAGAAGTGGCTTCAAAACGCTTCAGATCCTGAGAACTGGCTTAGAAAAGGCTTCAGATCCTCCAAACTGGCCTAGAAAAGGCTTCAAAAAAAGCTTCAGATCCTGAGAACTGGCTTAGAAAAGGCTTCAAAAAGCTTCCGATCTTGAGAACTACCCTATATAAGTGGCTCCTAAAAGCTCTGCAGGCTCAAAAACGCTTAGAACTACCCTATTCTCTTCAGAATCACCGAAATCCGATGTCGTGCCCATCGCGTGGCGCGCTACAAGCAACAACGCGGCATTTCGGCATGTAAAAAGTGAGTTTTCTATAACTTGAAACCACGGTAATACCACATAACCCCGTTTGCTCTGAATTCCCCATACAATCCCTAAAATACACCCCATTCCTTCCCCATAAAGACTCCGAACGGATGATGTGCGGATACCGGTGGCCCCGGTTCATCGGCGGTATGCCTCATGTTATTTGGCGTGTTGTGTAGCCCTGTTTTTTCCGGGGAATTTGGGAAAGCTGAGAGAGGACGAGAGGGAAAGAGAGAGGGAGAAAGAAAGAAAGAGAGAAAGAAAGAGAGAGAGGGGGAGAGAGGGAGAGAGAAAGAAAGCGAGCGAGAGAAAGCGAGCGAGAACGAGAGAGCGAGAGCGAGAGCGCCAGAACGAGCGAGCCAGAAAGAGGGTGTGCACTAACGGTACCTCAACTTTCCCAAATTCCCGATTTTTAGCCTTTTTTGTTCTCTTGGCAGATTTATGCCGATATTTGACAATTTAGTGCCCCACCTTCAGCTTTTCATTGCGCCGAATCACCGGTCTTGGTGTACTGATAGATTTTGCTGATTTCTGCTAGATACCACCCTAGCTACCGTAGCCAGAGTGCCCCATTTCAGACCGTCGGCCGCGGCGTGTCCACTGGCCAAGCAGGACTCGTCGATCCGCTTCAGCCATCTCAATAACAACGAAGAGGAGTGGAAGTACACGATCAAGTGGGCGTTTTATAGAATTTTTTGCAGTCCTCGAAAACCACGAGTTCACATTTTACCGCTAAAAATTCAAACTGGTTGCAAAAATTTGACAAAAAAAAACTAGCTTGAAAAATCGCGTTATTATGCCATGGTTTGCTGCATGTTTGGACATTTGTAGAAAATGAATGCAGAGATTTTCAAGAAATAAATCTTTCAAAGTACAAGCGGTAGAGTCAAATCAGCTGAATTACGCTAATTGCAAAACTCAAAAAACTTCTAGCGGTCCCCGATATTCGATGGCGAGAATGTCGACACAAATGTGAGGAAATAGCGGTGTAGAGAGACTGATAGAGCAAAATTAGCTACAGTACCCAGAATACCGTAGTCTGGGCCTTGAGTCGGAATGCCGACACTAAAAATGCCGACAGTTCAAAATGCCAACAGCCGAGATACCGGAGCAAAAACAATGTCACCGGCAATACCGACAGACTAAGCAAATGACATGGAGAATTCCGGCAGGACTAAATGACGACACAGAAAACATCGACAAGGCTACACCAATGCATACAAAATACCGACAAACGAAACTAACGACTCCCATATTACCGACCCCGGTGTGCTGAGCTGAAAACATTTCGATTCAAAGCGCCGGCGTGTCGGCATTTTGGTTGTCGGCATTATTGGTGTTCGCTTTTCGAATGTCGGCATTTCGACCGTTTTCCCGTAGTCTGCCCTAACTCCCAGCCCGTCGATCTTCATTTCCCCCCAACCTAACCACCCCCAGTTCCTCTCGACGTCGTACTGTGGAATGGGAAGCTAGAATTTTTTGCCTTAAACGCTCCTTTAACCCGGTTTTTAGTGGCGATTCCGAGCGAAGCGGGTCCATTGGCACGCTACCATATCTGGCGAGCCGAAACGCGGTATGGGCTTTGATTTTGGTGGAAAGAGTTGGGAAAGGAACTTCAGGCTGCTGGCGACCTGGGGGCCAGAGTGGATGCGATCGCGGCCAAGACGTTTCCGGCGTTGTTTGCATTTTTCAATGGTAAGTAGTGTTGAAAATCTTTGTATCATTTTCTCTCTCTCTCTCACTCTCTCTTTCACTCTCTGTCTCTCCCTGTCGCTCTCTATCTCTCGCTCTTTCTCTCTCTCTCTCTCTATCGCGCTCTTTCTCTCGCCGAACTCCCATTCTCAAAACCAATATTTCAGTACTGTACTGGTGGTACTACTTGAGCCGGGAACGATCATGAAACTATTATCGCTTATCTCTCGCTATCTTCTCCCTCTAATGATCATCACCAACTTCTACTACGGGTCTCATCTTCGGGAGGTCTCCCCCTCGGCCTCCTCCCCTCCACATACACATTCTCAAGGACCATTGCTCACTTCAGCTTTCAATATTTCCATATTTTTATCCTTATATTTTTGTGTATTTTGTATGATATAAGTATGTGTTCGACCGTTCTAATAAATATTTAAACTTCCGGTTATACCAGAAGAAAATTGGTGAGGCTGAAGAAAAAAGAAGATTGCGTTCAAGTCGAGGCTCAAAAAGATGCTTTCGAAGGAATCCCTTTGACGCCATAGCTGAGCTTTATGTTTATTATGCAAATGTTTTGACTGAAATATTTCGGCACAAAAACGGCCGGCATTTTGACAAAATCTCGATGGTTGCTATTTCACGGATTTTGCTAAAAGATGACCAAACTCCAAATGAAATATTTTAACAACAAGCTGCAAATCAATGGACCAGCGGTAAGTTGGCAGAGAGAGAGAGAGAGAGAGAGAGAGCGAGAGAGAGAGCGCGCGAGAGAGAGAGAGAAAGAAAGATAGAGAATGGCCTTGTGTTCTTTTATTTTGTAGCCACCGGCGTGAAAATCAAAATCAATTCAAAATCAAAAGCAAATTCCGAACCCGTCATTTGGTGCAGCCTGTAGTTTTCTGGAACTAGCCTAGCGATGGGATTTTCTGGCCCTTCCCAGTCCCTTGAAAAAGCACCAAGTCACCTTTTTATGTTTTTGTCTGGAATTTCTTTGAAAAACTAGGAGTGAATTTATAGCCGAACTCGAGAGCGTCACGCTTTTTTCGAAAAGCCGCCCGACCTTTTGATCCATCGGATAATCGCACGTATTTCAAAGAGATGACCGCTTCCCCCTTCTTTTCCCATCCTCTATTGATCCTGGAAAAATAAGGGGGTCCCGCAGGCCCTTTTCAATGTTTGGATAGGACTTCAGGGCCGCCGGGAGGGAAGCCCTTGTTTTTCCGTTCCGGCGGCGTAATCAGTTGTCTTTCATTTCGCTTCCGGTTATAGCGGGAAATAATCATTTGAAATTGATTAGTCCGCTGTTTAAACCCTGTCTGAGTATCGGCCACGCCCAAGCCAAGCCTACGCTAAGCCTAAGCTTAACTAAGCCAAAGGCTAAGCCTAAGCTGAGCCTAGTCCTAAGCCTAAGCGAAACTTAAGACTTCGGAACTCAACATACTTAACATTAAGTATTTTAATTTTTTTTCTCGTTCTCTCTCTCCCTTTATATTTTTCTACCCCTCGCAGCCTTTTTCTGTAATTAAATGATCTTTTACCCGAAAATCTTTCATTTTTCGCAAAATTATTTTCCTGTAATGGTTTCTTCTTTCCCAACGTTTTTGTTGTGTGTTTCGGCGAACACCGATCGGCAGAAATTGGCCCGCTTTGGAGACAAAATAGCACACACTCTCCATGTCAGAAACCACAGCGACCAAGCTTATATTGATTCTGCGCCTTATCACCTCAGTGTGGTCCGGCTGGCGGCTTTTTTGGCATGGCAAATAGCAGCGCCGGCACATATTCCGTGGTGCCAGCCGGGACTTGGGAAATTTTCTTAGAATATTTCTGAGGAATGGCTTCTAGAAGTGAGGTGCCGGATAGTGTGCGGCTGGTCTTGGTGGGATTTTAAGGTCTATTCGAAGGTGATGTTAAAGCCCGATTGGTATATCTAATACCTGGGATGAAGTTGGGTTGAGAAATCTTCATTTTTTTTTGTTGAATTAATTCCAAGAGGATAGTACTGTAAAATGATTGTTTAGATAGAAATAGGTCAGATTTTATATAGAATTATGCCCCATTAAACGAATTAAATTCCTAGAACCTAAATTGAAGTTAAACTTTAAAATAATAAGTTCAATCGTTGAATTTGGTTTTGAGTAGCTTAATCTGGCATTTTGCATATTACTGTAGTCTGGCTTATACGTATACCGTAAGTAACCAAAACTCACGGCAAGACAAGAAAAAAGAAAGTTCACCAATGCACAAAATGTGCCCGTGACGCAGAAATCTCTTTGAGAACAGTGCAATCGGGCGATCTCGCCATTACAATGCGCTGATTTGTGGTCTGTCCCTTCGGCATGCGATCGGGGTGCCCGTTTTTCTGGATAAAAGCCAGTCGAAACTTTCACGTTTCATGCCTCCAAAAAATCCTTTAAATTCATCATAAACCAGGGTTGAAAAGCCGCTTCGCGACTTTTCAACCCTGGCCCTATCTGACCCCCATTCTTTATCACTTTGCATAAACACTTGAATTCCTGTGCAAAAAAATGAAAAGCGCGTCCTTTCCCCAATTTTATAGGCTATCCCCACTTCCGGTGCATGCTAATTGATTCCTAACAAAGAGGCCGAGCGAAATTTTTACAAAATCTTAATTTTAATATCGAAAACAGCTGATTTTTAAAATCTCACATGCGTGCAGTCGTGTCATGACCATTACACACCTAATGACGTATCATACCTACCCTTAACTTCTTCCCCTCTTGAGATACGACTGGAACATACATCCGGAAGTCGATGCAAATGTACACAGACACACACACACTATTTTTTTATATATAGTAGGATAGTAGGATCTACATACTTTAAACTAAAACAGTCAAAAAAATTTCTGCTGAGTTTTGAGTTTCTTAATTTGTACGTTTTCTATACCAATTCGTTAGCTTTTAATGTAGCCCAACTTTTCAATAACCTTATTTGACGACGTTAACGAAGGTGATTTAAATATTTTAAATTTGGGTATATTTTAGCTGTATATGAAGCCTTTTACGTTATAGCTTTAATGGAATGGTTTCTTGATTTTTACGTGGCAGATTTTGACCTTTCTTTGAGCATCCTTTGAGTTAGTGAAAATGGTTTTAGCTCGAAGTCTCATAATTTAAAAAATTTAAATCCTTGAATTTTAATGATAAATTACATTACGCTACAAAACTAGTACATCTTAGAAAGGTTTCATGACGGAATCAAGGATTCGATTGCAAGGCAAGCACTAAATCCAGTACTTCTTTAGTAGTTTGTGCTTTCCAAATGCTGTAATCCGTCATCTCAAAAAATAAGTTGGCCGGAGATCTCATGCCATTTTTGATCCGCAGTATCCATATCAGCTGATCTCATGCATTGCCAGACAGATCTGACCCCCCGGCCTCGGGTCCACATGTCCGTGACAAAGCGTTCCCGCGCTGCGAAAATCCGCGATCCCGCGCAGCCCGCGGGGGGTGGACTCGGGCCAGATTCGGCGTTATAATCCATCCCCCAAATCCTGCAACCACATTTCACACCATCAAATTTTATTGCTTTTTGTGTCGTGGACGGCAACGGGCGCCGGTTCACTTAAAATTCGCTGGGCCAATTCGAATTTTAACGACTTTTCCGGAGGTGTAATTTAAATTCGGGAGCGTTAAAAAGGCGTGCGGGGGCGCTAGGTTTTTTAAATTTTCGGGGAGATTTGAGATTCAGCGTGTAGCATTAATGCTGGGACTTTCTTAAGCGCATCTGGCTCTCTAGATCTTCAATTGCCATACCTTGCAAATCCCCTTCAAAAAAGCTAGACAGCTCCAAAATCGACCCTTCCGGCCTACTGGGTCTCGACAGCTAAATATTGCTCTAAATGATGTGTTAAAGCGGATTTTTATGGCCTTAGCGCCTTATTTGAACGCAACTTTGGTTTCTTCGCGTGGTTGTCTAGACCTAACCAGCAAAAGGATAGATTCTTGGGTTTCCTGGCTCCTTTAAACCAAATGGTTCACGCCAAAATTTGCAATTTTTCATAAACCGACCATGAAGTTGCGCTCTCACGCCCCATTAGCCCTTTCCAAAACCTTCTCACACCTCATTTAAATCCCAGAAATTTGGAATCACCTTCGAAAATCACAAAATCTCGTCATTTCTCCTTACTTTTAGCCGATGACCTCCTCCTCCGATGAATGGGACGTGGAGCTGAGCCCCGGGCGGATTACGACTAATATTGTGGCACTTTATGGGTTCGGTAGGTTAAGCCGACCTAAGCTAAGCCTAAGCCTAAGCCTAAGCCTAAGCCTAAGCCTAAGCCTAAGCCTAAGCCTAAGCCTAAGCCTAAGCCTAAGCCTAAGCCTAAGCCTAAGCCTAAGCCTAAGCCTAAGCCTAAGCCTAAGCCTAAGCCTAAGCCTAAGCCTAAGCCTAAGCCTAAGCCTAAGCCTAAGCCTAAGCCTAAGCCTAAGCCTAAGCCTAAGCCTAACCTAAGCCTAACCTAAGCCTAAGCCTAAGCCTAAGCCTAAGCCTAAGCCTAAGCCTAAGCCTAAGCCTAAATAAAACTAAGCCGATTCTCCTTTTCAGGCGCCCTAGTCCTGGTGCTGCCCTACTTCGTGGGCCCGTTCCAGCGCGGTTTCTGGTGTGATGACGAGACGATCCGCTACGAGTTCAAGCAGAACACCGTGTCCGCTTCAGCCCTTTTCGGTTTTGCCATTGTCGTGGCGCTGGCTACGGTATGTACGCATAGCCCTTTTAACGTGACTTTTTATTGCAGACCTTCTGGGGTGAGTTTGTCGTCCAGTCGTGGATTGAGAAGCGCCGAAAAAGGTATGAAAATTTCACAAAAATAGTATATTTTTTAAGGTATCGCCTCCGTAATCGATCCATCCACTCGCTACTCGTCCATATTCTACGCGAATTCGGCTACTCCCAGCTTGGATTTATCACTGTATTATGTCTCATGCAGGTTTGCGAAATCTTGCTCCTACTTACCGTATCCCTAGAGCACCAAATTCTTGATCGGACGCTTGAGGCCGCATTTCCTGGCCGTGTGCGAGATTGAGAACCTGGAGCAACTTTGCGATAAGGACCACAAGTAGGTTGATTTCGGGAGCACGTGATAGCCGGTTTTGAGGGGCAGATCGTGCATTAACGTTACCTTTCCAGATTCATTCCGGTCGGCCAGTACAAGTGCTCGGCTACGAGTACGAAGGCTGTCCACGAGGCGCGACTCTCCTTCTTCTCTGGCCACTCGGCCATCTCGGTCTATGCCGCGTTTTATGCGATCGTAAGTGGATAGCTTAAAAGAGGGTAGTGTAGCTTAACATTCCGTCTGACACCAAACGTACCGTAGTCCGCCTAATCGCATAACCTGCCGTAGCGCAACCTAAAAAGCGACGATCGCATTGTCATATCGGAGCGTAACGTAGTGCAACGGAGCTAATGTTGCTTATCGTACTCAAGGACAGCAAACCGTAGCCTAGCGTAGCGTAGTGCCTACCGTAGCCTAGCCCCGGATGTATCTAGCAGGTTGTATCGTATCGTAGCTATTAGCGCGTAGAGGTTGTGGTAGTGCAGCGCCCTGTGTTAAGGTGAATCGTCGCCGAGCGTACCGTATTGCAACGTACCGCCACGCCCAAAATACACCCGGATTTGCAGCTCTACCTCCAAGCCAAACTCGGCCGCTACGAGCCGACGAAGATCTTTGTCAGCCTGGCGCAGACGATGCTAATGTGCATTTCACTCGGTATAGCATGACTTACGTTTTCTGAAACAGTGTTAATTCAGCGATCTGCTACACTCGAATCACGGACAATTGGCATCACTGGAGTGACGTGTTGGTCGGCATTTTTGTCGGCATGGGAGTGGCTATTTGGACGGTAGGTGGAGAGAGAGAACGAGAGAGAGAGAGAGAGACGAGAGACGAGAGAGAGAGAGAGAGAGACGAGAGACGAGAGAGAGAGAGAGAGAGCGAGCGAGTGACTTAAGTTAATTGGGCAAAGCTTCATTTCCAGGCCGTCTTCTGGGCTCGCCTCTTCTCCGACGACACCACCGTCCCGCCGGCCCTTCCGGTCTATAAAGCCCAGGAAAGACCGATGAGACCAAATGATTCCGGAAACACTTCTGGCATCGACTCGATGCATGATGGTACATCTTGAAATTTTATTTCTCAAGCCCTTTTTCCGTCTAGACAGCCCCCGACAACCCGGCCAACTACGCCTTTAAATCGAGAAATCGACACGATGCATGTACAAGAGCTTTATAAATATACGGGACCATCGCTTCAGTCATTTTTGGTTATCACAGAATAAAGCATTCCGGCCTACATTTACTGTTTTCTCATGGACAATTTATTTACATTGTCGCTCAATGTGTTGATATTTTGGGGAGAGAGAGCGAGAGAAAGAGGGAGAGAGAGAGAGAGAGAGGGGGGGAATGGTCCCCCAAAACAATGGTCCAATGGGAAGCAAATTACGAATTCCAGGACAACATGTTGCTCTCCGGGGGCATTTTGAGGACAGCGAAGCATTTTGATTGCCCAACACGAAAAATCAGCTTCAAAAATTGAACGCTGGACATTTTTCTATATTTAGAAAAGACTTGAACGGCTTCTGGAGGTGGAGATTATGACAAGGTGAGCGGGAATATTTTAGGGGATTACATTGTAATCGGGAAAAATGCATAGGTTTCTTTGTCGCTCTGTCTCGCTCTCTCTCTCTCTCTCTCTCTCTCTTTTTGCCTTCCCTCTCTGTTTCCATTTTCCGGAAATCCACGCCACGACAATTATACCCCCCGGGTCCACCAGTCGTCATGGTGCCGTGATGCGATCCACACGGCCTGGAAGCAAAATATTTGGAGGTTTTTTCTAGCCCAACCTCCGATTCCACCCCACTACAATCGGCTACTATAGTGGGGTGGGATCCACAGTCTTTTTGTGGTTCTTTTATTCCCTCCAAACACTGCCCCTCCTCTCCGCTAACCCTTCCAATATTTGTTCAACAACCACCAGACGGAAACGGCCCTTCCCAAAACCCCCGGCCGGGTCCCGGGGGGCAAACGGACCAAGCGACGTTTTTCGATTTTGCGGGCTCCACATTTTTGTTTTCTAATGAGTCGGCTATGCATGTTTTTAATGGCAAAAAGCTGTACTAGATCGTGTTAATTGTTCATAGTTTTATCGCGAAAAATTAACTAACTAGAAAATAGTTTTATATGCCATTATTAAAGTAACTTTTCCAGGCAGATTCTCTGATTGAGTTCAACGATTATTTTTAACACCAGCCGATAACAGCGCGACTGTAATAACGCAATTTTTAACATAATTAACATGTTCTTTTGAACGCAGAACGGTTTCTGAGCGAAAACTACTAACAACTCGCTCAGAAATGACGCCCGTCTTAGAGAATTCAGTCCTCAAACACGCGATGACTAACCCATTTTACGACCAACGGTCAGCCCCCGCCGCGGCCCTCAGTTTTGGCAGGCTGTGGACTCACAGTAAATATTGCGAATATCGTCCCGAAATTGCACTCTAAAACTTGCAATAGTTTTTTTCTTACGTATTTTTACGCATTTTTTTTCTTAAACGATCTCTGCTAGCTTTTCCTTAAAAACGCTCAATTTTCAACAGCATTTGCTTTCGTGAGGCTGCCTTGCTTCTCATAAAAAGATGAGATTTCTGAAGACTTTTTCAATTTCCCGAATGCTCTTTGCTAGCCGCGCAAACTCTATATTTTCCCACCACATAAAATGGTTTCGAACTGTTAATAACTCGCTAATTACTATACTTTACTCCTATTGTGATTTGATGTCTGGTAGGCCCAACCCGGAACCGGTTCTCTAGCGCCCGCGCGGGGGAATTGGCGCCCAAATTGGCCAGTTCCGACAAGGTTATCTCATTTTTCTCGGGGTGCACTAATGCTCCGGTTTTTTAAGCTTTTTTCAATGATTTTTTATGAATTTCTGGACTAAATACGAAAACTTACTCGAGCACAGGAATGAGAAATGTGTTTTCTGTCTGCCATTTTCGCTTGTGCCGGTTTTTTGGAACCTGTTCCCGATGTAACAGCGGACTGGCTACCGATTATACTACTCCTTTTTTGGGGGAGCTGCACCCCCGCCTGTCTGTGCATTGATCACATTTGTTGACTCACCTGCATAATTCGGGATGTGAAACGAATATTTTTTTTGGCGGTGCACGTCATGCTTTTCGTACTGATGGTGAATCATTGTAGCCGAAGCTTAAGCCTAAATATGAGCTTAATAAACAAGGTCTACGACCAGCCGATGCTAAGCCTAAGCCTAAGCTAAGTTTAAGCCTAAGTTACGCATTGCACGAAATTTTGTATCTAATGATTTTTGTAAGGGCATAGAGCAACTTTTAATAAAACTGGCGTATTTAAATGTTTCACATATTTGTCGATGCCGAGTCGACGCTAAAAGTAAATTATCCCGTTTTCTAGCCTCTTGAAAAAGCCTCCAGATTTTCAAAGGGTATGGAAAATTTGACACCAATAAAGGTACCATTGACGTCAATCTCTGGAAAAAATCTATAAGAACTCTCACTTTCGACCGGCGGTCTCTCTTTCCGCTCTGGCAAAGATCTACCCCCTCCCTCCTCCTTCTTCCGCCCTATCGAATGTGTGTGTGTGGGATACCCGGTGCACCGATCGGTGCGGGACCACCAGCCGAGCGTTTATTCAGCATTGATATCCCTATCCGTCAAGCTTTTATGACTCAGCCAACTTTTTCTCGATATTCATGCGATTCCCTGCCGGTTTTAGTGTTTTTGATAAGGATTTGGCCATGCTTGATCCATGGAGGTCTTTCTTATGAACTTCTATGTTATTCAGGTTGGCTTCAAGCAGTAATAGGCCTATATTTTTTTGCTGATTCCGGGCAATTTGCTGCCAGTTTTTATAAGCGACTCGTCTTTTTTTAATCTACTAGGTAGTATGATATCTCCTTAAGCTGTCCCTTAACCATAAATCTATATTCTTACGGTAGACTGCCGCATTAATACGTATAAATCATGTTTAACTACGCAATTTTTATAATTTTCTGATGCTATCATGAACTATCTTTTGCGTTATCCAAATGATTAATTAGCGGCAGTTCAGCCTATGCTGACCTCTAAAAATCACTCAAATAATGGCTTAAAATCCATTAACATTCCCTCCTTCAAGTTATCATTTGATCTTTTTTTCTTAAATTGCTAAAATTTACCCCTCCCCTCCTGTTAAGTCTCGACGGCTACGCGGCGACCCAAGTGACGCGTCAAAATCTATTGTAATCCGTACAAAATTTTTCCCCTTGTTTTGCCTCTCGCGTTTCGTCTAGATCTGGTCAGTCAAAACGGCAGATTTTTGTATTTAAAATGTAAAATTCTCATTTTTATAATCCCTCTATAATTTTCAGGATGGACCTCAGGTCAAGCTGGCGGGTATGGCTGCTGAACTCGACAATAATGGGCGTGATTTGTAAGTTTTCATTTTTCACCGGACCCTTCAAAAAAAAGCCAACAACACCCTATCACCCTAATTTCAATTTTGTAGGCCTGATCGTTCTGATCGTCCCCTGGGCCCTTGAAAATGATCGCCTGCCCGCTCAACGCGGTTTCTTCTGTAACGATGAATCCATCCGTCACCCAATTCTCCCGAACACCGTATCAGTTGTTGTATGCGGAATTGTGTCGCTTATCATCGTGTTTACAATGGTATTTTTAAGATTGATTTCAACGTAGACCCGAGGATTCTAGGTGCTCCTCGCCGAAGTCGTCGTTTTATACCGCAAAGAGAGGAATGAGCGGCAGCTACGATTCTTTTTCTATACGCTTATTCAGCAGAATGGTGAGGAAATTAAATTTTTGGAGGGAAGCACCAAAAATTTAAACGTTTAAATTACCACTTGGAATCCGGACTCTGGAAAATCAAAAATGTCGACAGCCAAAATACCGACAGTCAACGGTTATACGAGCCAGCGCTTAGGATCAAATTGTCTTTCCGTGCAGAAAGAGAGGCCGTGTTGTCGCTTTAGCTTGTCGGAATTTCAGTTGTCGGCGTTTTCCATCGAAAATTTGGCTTGTCGGTATAATAGCACTCGGTATGAGTATGGGCCTGTTGTCGGTATATCGGGGGTCTGGACCGCACTTGTCGGCATTTTATTTTGATTGAAAGTTTGACTGCAGCAGCATTCAGAGTTGCAATTAAGCTGACATCAAGCAATATCTTAAAATTTAGGCTACTGGTTACTCGGGCTCCAAACTACACTAATCCTGACTCAAATCGCCAAATATTCCGTAGGCCGGCTACGACCCCACTTTTTGGCCGTTTGCCAGATTCAGAATTTAAGCGAGCTGTGCGTAGATCCATTAAGGTACGTTATACAGCAATATAGCAATTACGACTTTTCTAGATTCGTGAAATCGACCGAGTATAGTTGCACGGGTCCACCTGGAGAGGTGCGAGAAGCTCGAGTGTCGTTTTTCTCCGGTCACTCGGTTACGATAACATATTGCTGTATATATTCCGTGGTAGGTTAGAGAGAGCGAGAGAGAGGGGGAGAGAGAGGGGGAGAGGGAGAGAACTATATACAGCGAGAGAAAAAGAGAGTGAGAGAGGGAAAAAAAAAAAAAAAAGAGAGATAAGAGAGAGAAAGAGAGATAGAGAGAGAAAGAAAGAGAAAGAGAGAGAGAGAGAGAGAGAGAGAGAGAGAGAGAGAGAGAGAGAGAGAGAGAGAGAAGAAGAAGAGAGAGAGAGAGAGAGAGAGAGAGAGAGAGAGAGAGAGAGAGAGAGAGAGAGGGAGAGAGAGAGAGAAAGATAAAAAAAGGGAGCAAGGAAAAATGCATAGATTTTTAGCTCTACCTCCAAGCCAGAATCGGCTCCAGAACTGGCCATTGGCGAGGCGCACTCTGCGTTTTGCAGTCAATGCTGGTCGGCGTGGCTTTGTGTAAGTCATATTAAACATCTGGACGTTTAAATACACAACTTAATTTTAACCATCAAATGAACCATTTTTTAGTCATTTGCGCCAGTCGTGTCACGGACTATTGGCACCACCCGACGGATGTGTTAACCGGCGCCGCTTTTGGGGTGTTGTCCGCAACCTGGACGGTGGGTTAGAAGTTTAGAATGTTTTTTTGATTACGCAATCAAATTATAATCTTAAAAACATGCGCAAAAACTTATAACAAATTTTAGGCACTCGTTTGGGCCGGGCTCTTCAGCCGCAACAAATACGTGAAAGTTAGATGCGAATTACCTGAGAAATCTTCTGAAAATATGGCGTAAAAATCATGACCCTTATTTTTCTTGGACTCCTCCACTTTTCAACTATTTTTCTGTACATTTTGAGCCATTTTCTGTTCGATATCCTCGGCATTTTTCGACCAAAAACCCCGTCCCGCTACGTGTATCCCGCTGGTCATTAGGATTACGATTGTGTATATGATGTTCCGGTGCTATAGTACAAGGCCACGATAAAGCTGTGATGCTAAAGACTGTCTTGTATACACAGGAAATACAATGAAAGATACAGAAAAACCCGTACATACCCAGACAACCTAAAGATATCAGCCATGACGAAACTGGGGCGCATGCCTGAATTAAAATGTTAGTCGAAAGAAACCTAAGCCTGGGCCTAAGCCTGGGCCTAAGCTAAGCCTAAGCTAAGCCTAAGCTAAGCCTAAGCTAAGCCTAAGCTAAGCCTAAGCTAAGCCTAAGCTAAGCCTAAGCTAAGCCTAAGCTAAGCCTAAGCTAAGCCTAAGCTAAGCCTAAGCTAAGCCTAAGCTAAGCTAAGCCTAGCCAAGCCCAAGCCTAAGCCTAATCCTAAGCCTGAACCGAGTCCAAGGCAAAGATAGGTCCAAATCCATGCCTATCCCAAGCCTAAACTTAAGTCTAAGCCTTAGTCAAAGCCAAAGCCAAGGCTTGGTCTAAGTATAAGCCTAAGGAAGATTGTTTTTAGCTGTTGCCAATGCCATCTCCCTTCTCCTCCAGGGTGTAGATGTCGTAAAAAGGTTGACCCGTGGTTCCAACGGCCCGACCGCCCCATTTTATGGGTAGCCGATGTGCCTTGAGGGCAAATATCCACCGGACAGGGCCACATCGCGGTCTCCTCTCATCTTTTCACCCCCCGGCCACTCTCATCACATTTCAGATCCATGCCCGCCCAGAGAGAGGCAAATAAACACAAACGCATCACACTGATCGCGGGAGCCACGCTTACCACCTATTTTTGCATACCTTTGGTGTTCACACCTCATTTGTGAGCAATATCCGGTAAGAAATACATCTTGTTCTCGACACTAAGCTAATGTTCCTACTTACTTTTTCTTCTTCTTCTTACTTTACGTAGTTTTTGAAGTTGTGTATAAGCATTGTTAGATGATAAGTTCGCGATTTTTAGGTTCCGAAAACGGTGAAAAAGGAGTTGCCCCCAGGAAACCAAAGTTTTCTAGATTTCTAGGTCTACTAGATTTATGGGTTTAGGGCGCAACTTCGTGGACTGTTTCTTACTGTTTTTCAAGATAAAACGTGGCCGATTTTTTATTAAAAATTCTGTTTTAGGCAAAAATTCGTTTTCTGATACCCAAAATTATCTATTCTTATAGTAACTCGTCTTTTTCGAATTTTTTTTGATTCACTATAGCTCAAAACCAATTTTTTGAAATAATTGACACAGCCTTTTGTATTTTAAAATTTGAACAAATCCTTACCCTTCAAATTCGCTGAACGGCTACGGTCCTGGAAAAAAGGCGCTAAAGGAGCCGAGTTTGCTCATTTTTGGCCTTGCCTAACAAAATTTAAACTTTGAACCTGTTACCGTTATCGTCAGCCGCTTTTAAGACATACAGGGTGTCCCAAAAAAAACGACCCATCTGGCATTTCGCCGTGTTACATCCAATCGGTCCCAAATTTGGATCAGCGGTGTATCATACCCTAAATAACACCAATCCTGACTTATAGCCCTGTAGCTATAGTAGTTCTCGAGTTATAGCGAAAACAAACTTTATTTTCCATTTTTCATAGGGTTTTCGAGGAATGAGACCCCTAAACGTTAAGTGAAAATGATCCGGTAGGCCTTCTTTACCCTAAGAAATTTTTTTTCCAGAGTAAAATTGATTAAATAAACTTTGATTTAAGCGATTTTTACAACGCAAAATTACCCAAGTTCTTAAGCGAAATTAGGGATTCGCAGCCGGATCGATGCAAATCGATGCAAAGTCCAAAAAGATGGCCGAAAAAAACTGTTCAGAATTCCGGGAAAAACAGTATTTTCGTTATAACTCGAGAACCACGAAAGCTACAGGGCTATAAGTCAGGATTGGTGTTATTTGGGGTCTGATACACCTCTGGTCCAAATTTGGGACCGATTGGACGTAACACAGCGAAATGCCAGATGGGTCGTTTTTTTGGGACACCCTCTAGGATTTTTTTTGAGAATTTCCCGCGCCATCGAAAACGCTATTCCACATCGCAAGTTCCAAGAGCGCATAACAATGGCGTCTTGTAAGGAAAAATTTAACGTATAACATGACCCCAAAGCCGTGCCATAAAGCTTTTACAATTTGTTAATTTCCCAAGCTGTACAACACAAAAATATATCCTCAGGCAAACAATTTTCCTCGAACACTAATAATGCCAAATTTTCCAATCCATTTCCGTCCCCGGAGGTCATTTACAATAGGCGAAATCTGATTTACATCCGGTGCCCAGATGAGAACAAGTCTTTGGTGCAGTATTATACTCCCGGATCGTGCCCCCAGGCTCCGGGATATGTTTAGCATTGGTGTGTGCGTCTCGGGCCCTGTAGCCGTAAAAGATGGAAGGGCCATAAAATGCACCCACAAGCAGATGTCGCACAACCCTCTCTCGAGCCCCTTGTACGCCGTCAACCATCCACATGCACAAACAATCCCCATTCTGTGTCTCTCCCCTGCGAGATTATTCATTCATTTTCAGTTAATGTCATCACCAGACTTTAAGTGTTAAGTGAAACAATATAATAGCTCGAAGTCGTTTCTAAAACATTTTATCCGTGGTAATCACTAAAGCGAAGCTTTTGAATAGTTTTTACCGCTACTTCGACTTCGATTTTGCTTAAAAATGTGACATTTAAGAGAAATGCCTTCGTTAAAAAAATTCGAGAAGCAGCCGAAATTTTGTTCCTTGGAAGCTAAACCGTGGACTTTGGCCGATCGGCGCGGGTCGTTCGGGCCGGGCGAAGCGGCCGGGGGCATCCAAAACAAAACATAACATTTGGATCGATGTGTGACTCAACGTAGTCTAGCCCTATAGTTGCTAAAAAAATTCAGTTTTCGGGCTGTCGAACAGCTCAAATTAGCTATGCAAATTTTCAAGATGACATCTCTGGCGATAATACTTATTTTTATTATCCTAGAATGTTGCCTAAATATCCCTCTAATTCGACTCCCTTTGCCGGATCGCTCATTTTTGCACCCACACGGGTGGGTCGAGTGAGAAATTGACAATTGACAAATGGCCAGCACCTGCCCGGAACATTCAGCCAGTCATCCTCCGGCTTGGCTCAATCCAACCACCCCAGCCCCCCATACGCAACTTCCGATAATAATTTATAGGCTCGGCAATGCTTGACCGGTTATTTTTGATCGTGCTGTCTCTCACTCTCGCCTTTTCTCTCTCGCTCTCTCTCTCTCTCTCTCTCTCTCTCTCTCTCTCTCTGTCTCTCTCGCTCTCTTTTTTCTCCCTCTCGCCCGTTTCCTTTGTTCTCTCTATCTATCGCTCGTACTCTCGCTCCCCTCTCTCTATCTCGCTTTCTCTCGCTCTCTTTCTCTCCTGCTTTCACTCTCTCGCTTTTTCTCTCTCCCAAACTCTCGCTCTCTCGCTATGTATATGTCTCTCATTCTCGCTCCATGAAAAGATACCCTATAGCTGACACAAAAATTCGTATCTTAGGAAAAGCATGCAGAAAATTCAAAGTTGTTTTGAACCTCCTTGACCGTCTTCTGTCTGTCTCCCTGTCTCTCTGTCTCCGTCTGTCTGTGCTGCACATGTGTGTGTGGCCGTATATCACCATCGGAACCCCGATGCCCCTCTTGCTCTTCCTCTGATCCCCTTCCCATTCCATTCCATTCCCATCCTCCACCATATTTCACGCCATCCCCCTCCACCTCCACAACCCCATCCTATCCTCCCACCCACCACCCCCACCGATGGATACAAATTGCTTTTGTTCGACTTCAATGGGGGCAATGTCGGTTTTTGAAATTCGGAACGGTTTAAAGGGACGGGCAAGGCAAGACAGGAATTTTCTATGGATTTCCGTTGTGCCCTGGCGTACCGCGCCCTATTTGTTTTGGGTTTGTATGAAAGGAGTCGGGATCATTTATGTCCACTTTTTTTTTGAAATTTGACTATCCTTAAAGGGACGAACCAGGCCGCGGCCACCAATTTTTTTGGCTATGGATCTCCAGGAGCTGTCCCTAATTGCAGGAGTTTAGAGCGTGACCCGATGGTTCTTCTATTACGCAATAGACAACGTCGAGGATAGCGTTTTTCTTTTTATCCTTGCCGCGACACGCAACGCGCCTAGCTCAGCAACACGCGACGCACCCGGATTTGCCAAACAGAGTAGCATACGTGACGCAATGGGCGACAACGGAAGTGCGTGTGGGTCGTTGGAGCGGGAATGTAATGCATAATGAATTCTTATCGATTTTATCGCAGCCGCGGACCGCGACGCGTGTCTTTCGCCGTAGTTTAAGTGAAATGCTTCGTAATGGATCGCGCGGCGCGGTTAGAGCTGCTGCGCGCATCGTCAAAATTCATGGTGTATCCAAACAATCAGTGGTTTGCCTTTCTCATCCTTCTAAAGGGATTCGGAAGTGAGGGATTTTTATGGAGTTTTTTGGGTCCATAGCTTTTCAAAAACTAGGTGATTTGTGCTTACGCTATTGTAAGAGGTTCAATGCAGTCAGCAATATACCCGCTTTGTTTTTCTAGTCTTGCGCTTCTAAAAATAGTTCTTTTTCAAGTTTCTTGGGCGATTTGGGTCCCGATCTCCCGACCCTCGTTTTATTGGTCTCCTCAAAGCCCCCCATATCGTCCACTTGACACTCCTTCGACACGTGCAGTTTGTGCTAATTTAGAGGTGGTATTGGGGGAGAGTAGACGGTGCGGCCAATCGTTATTTGCATAGTATCGGAATTACAAAAAAAATAGACCACCCCGTCCAGGGTTATTTTGGAGAGCGACGTAGGATAAGTTGAAAGTTCGGATTCTTGGAAGTGAGGCGACCTTTTGTGATTTATTCCTAACTTTATGCTTTCACTTTTACATATATTTCATTATCAAAAGTTCAATATACAATTAAATTGTATAATTTGCAAAATTTTGGAAATCGACTGTTTTCTTTCGAGCTAATTTTTTAAGAATTTTGATAATTTTTAGAGTTATTTTAGCCCTTAAAATTTTTTTAATTCGTGCCAGAAATATAACCAGGAATTTTTCGCAATTTTGGAGGTCTTAATATATTTATTTAATTTTTCTGTGCTTTGACGAGGTTCTTAGTAATCTTAATAAGTTTATTTTGGCGTATCAAATTTTTTATCCATGTCCAGCTCCCCTTGGTGGTGTTGGAAAGCTGTGGATCGAGCTCCACCGAGGCGAGGAGGCCATTTGGTGGAAGACAAATGGGTGAGGTTAGGCTCACCTGGGTCCATCCCTCACACTCACACAACCCCCAGGCTCTCAAGCTCCTCGTCGCTCTCCAGGCAATTTGTTTCGAATTTAGCTCTTGAATTTAGATTTTGATAATCTGAATTAAATCGTTTAAAATTTACTTAAGTTTTTGAAACTTAAATTAAAGCTTATAAAATTTTTCTTATGAATTCCCAGTTTTCTCTGTTTTTCCAATTTTGTAGTTTGTAGCGGATCCCATTTTAGAGTGATTCTATACTGCTAAAAATTGTTATGATCATAAATAACGCTGAAACGATTCGAAGTTAGCCGGGTTTTATGACATTTTTGTATTTATGGCATATTTCTCGTATGTTCTATTTTTTATTGTATTGTAGTTTGTAGTCTACTGTTTTTCAGTGCACCCAGATGCGAATTGGGCATGCATTGTGACTATCCGGGATGAAGATGATCCGTGGTCTCGCCATATTTTTCCTGCTCCTCTTTTTACTCGCCGACTCGTCGGAGGCCGTCCAATGGCTGTAAGTGTATTATAGATTTCAATTTTAGGCAATTTACAGGCTTCTCAGTGCCTTTGAAAGAGCTAGAAAGTGCGGGAATCTACCCCCTTGATTAATTGGGTCTTGACAGCCCGTAAACTTGTTAAAAAGCGTGTCATGGCCAGTTTAGGCTCTAAATTTTTGTGCATAGTTTGGTGTAACTCGTAGTTGTCGAGACCCAGGCGATAAAAGGGGTCGGTTTTGACGCTTACTGGTCCCTTTAAAATCCTAGAAAAAACGATGTATAACGCAAAGAATGAAATTTATTTCAGGTCGGTCGGCCTCTCCTCGTCCAACATTGGCAACCGCAGCGCCGGGTCGTTTTGTAAAGAATTAAAGGTAGGTGAATCTTCCGTTGTTTTTTATTAAAATTTAATGTTTCTATGCGCTCTTTTAATTTAGGGCCTCAACAAGCGGCAGATGCGGTTTTGCCGCAAGAACGTCGGGTTGATGGACTCGGTGCGGAGGGGGGCGCAGAGCTCGTACACCGAATGCCAATATCAGTTCCACAAAAGGCGGTTGGTGCTTTGGAAATTTGCATATGGTCATTTTTTAACAATACGGCCCTTTTAATACCATGAAAAATTTAGGTGGAACTGTACTCTAATCGATCCTCTGACCCATAAAGTTATCGGTGATGTCCTCCTGGCCGAGGGCACCCGTGAGAGCGCATTTGTACATGCGATATCGGCGGCTGGTGTCTCTTACAGGTTAGTTTTTCTTTTATTGTATAGGTATCGTCAGGGGTATTACAGAGTATTACCTGAAAATCCCAGCAACATACTACCCTTTCAGAGTCACCCGTGACTGCGCCAAGGGCCTCAACGAAGGCTGTGGCTGCGATCAGACACGACATGAAATTCCGGAACTATCGACGGAAAGCGTTCACACCATCGTTCCTAGGGTACGTAAGATACCTATCGACGCATCCAGACCGTTTTTGAGGACAGCGCCAAGCAGGAGTTTGTCAGCGAGGGATGCTCGGACAACGTGAAGTACGGCAACCTCATCTCCAGAGAGTTTGTCGATGCCGCGGATAAGGCGCACGGGAAAGCGGTAGGTGTTGGTTGCCGCAAAGTGGTTTTTAAAGAGACTGGCAAGGGCTTGGGTTACCGCTCTCTCCCCCTCGCTCCTCTCTCTCTCTCTCTGTCTGTCTCGCTCTCTCTCTCTCTCTCTCTTCGACCTGTACCTGTCGAAACCTAGTCAAAGCCATACGTTGATTCCCCCGTTTCCCAATCCCTTTAAACCGGTCATGCTAATCCTTTACGTCACTTTATCCCAGTTTCAGAAATCCAACTCATCCGCCCAAGCCGAGCAGACCGTCGTCAATCTGCATAACAATCGTGCTGGCCGGGAGGTGAGCTCAGCTTTCATATAATTGAGCTAATCTCTGGAATCTTTTGGTTTTGTATCCTGTCATCATAAAATTGCGATTCCCTGAATCTTAATTTTGAAATCAGGGCGAGGCCCACCTGTTTTTCGGTTCGTTGAACCCCGAAAATCAGCAGCTTGCCATCAGAAAAAATCGGGCTCTTGCTAGCCGACGGGTTGAGGAGATAAGACTGTTTTCGTGTACCTGGCCGGATTGTTGAAAAGTCAGAAAACGAGCAAAGCCTTTGTTTTTGGAAACTGGAGAGTCTTTGGACCTTAAAGAGATAGGGTCGTCATAAGTCAATCGATTACGCGAGGGAAAGAAAATGTCTCTGCGCCTCTCCTCTGGGAGCCCTCTCTCGCGCGAGATCGCCGCGGGACCTGTTGAACCCCCCCTCCCCAAGGGGGGTTCAACAGATGCCGTCCTCATCTCTTTAAGATAAAATGGGTTCTAAAACGTGTATAATTCGAAAAGAGTCGATACATCAAAACGTTTTAGGCGCTCGGAGCTTCGCTGCGTCGGGAATGCAAATGCCACGGCATCAGCGGATCTTGCGAGATCAAAACTTGCTGGGACGCGCTGCCATCTTTCCGGTGAGCTGAGTATATCTTGAAGTTGTAGCTATGTAAAATACGGACCAGCGGCTCGAATTAACGAGTCTTATCGGCCCTAAAGTTTGGCATTAGCGTGCAACCTACATCCGTACGTACGTACGTACGTGAATTCTGCGCTTCAAAATATGGTTAATTTTTTTTGAGAATAGTCGTAACTTAGCCTTTTTGAAGCCCTCAGAAAATTCTAGACCATTCCAGGCTTCTCCCTCTTGGCAATTTTCCGACGCCCCAACTCCTCTAAAAGTGCTCGGATCTATGAACCAAGGAACTTTAAGAAGCAACCATAAGCCCCAGCTGCTAGTTTCCCACCGCCTCGGCACGCGCGTACACCAAAAAACCTCTGGATTCCACTTCCAAGACTCCAATGGGGCGATTCTGAATTCTAGTTATCACCCCCCCGGCTGCCAATTTTAGGGGTTTCTTTGCAAAATTTTCCGGGGGCAATTGACGTGGTGCCCGGGTGCTCCCGAATTCCGCTTATCGCTATGGGGGAATTCCGGACGGCTGGCTGAAAACGGCTGGTCAAGCGGATCTTGGGTCGGATCGATAGAAGAAGTCGGCAAAAAAGAAAAGCTAAGCCTAAGCTAAGCCTAAGCTAAGCCTAAGCTAAGCCTAAGCTAAGCCTAAGCTAAGCCTAAGCTAAGCCTAAGCTAAGCCTAAGCTAAGCCTAAGCTAAGCTAAGCCTATGCAAAGCCTGCGCGAAGCCTAAGCCTGAGCTTGAGCTTTGCGCTTGCGGATATATTAAAAAAGCTCTATAAACCTTTTTTCAGAGAAATCGGCGCCACGATCAAAGACAAATTCGATGGAGCGACGGCCGTTCAGGTATTGATTTTTGAGATTTAACCTTAAAGACGGCTGAGAGCTAAAAACCTGTACTTCGCATTCCAGTTTTCCAGTATTTGTTACGGTGCAGGATTAGGTACTGCAGTAAAACTAAAATAGCGAGGTTTTGCGGAAATTCTCAAAGAATCGCATTCGCGACCGACTACATTTGTAATTTTACGGTTTTATCGGAACCATTCTGACTAGTTACTTACTACTAAATTACTATATTGTTATTAAATTTCCTAATGAATTGTACTATTAACGACCTCATTTTATTTTCAGATCGTAATGGAAGGGGATAAGCCTCGAATCCAGGGCAAGAACAACCAATACCGTCGTCACACGAACGCCGATTTGGTGAGTTTTTAATTATTTGGGGTAACAGACGGTTACCGATACCGATAAGAAAAAAGCCCGACAAGCTTGAACGCCTTAGGTCAAAATGCCGACACAACAATATTGATATCCAAAATGCCGTCAGCTAAAATTTCAGGAATTGCAATATTTATGGTGTAGCATCAGCTTACCATGTCGGCATTTTGGCTTTCGAGAAGTTGGCTATCGGCATTTGATCTTTTCGGTGTTTTGGCCGGCGAAATTTCCGCTGCCGGCATTTTGGTTGTCGGGATTTGGATTATCGATATCCTAAGCGTCGGCTTTTTGGCATGTCGACTTATTTCGATTTTCCGGGATTTCGGATTTCGGCATTTTACTCTTCGTATTCCGGATAAAAAAATATTGATTTGGGTTTTAATTTCCTTGTTTTTCATTTCCCTAATCGGAACTCTGGACCGGCGCTTCCTTATTAGCACATTAAATGGCTCCATAGCCGCGAAATTACGAGCCCGATAAGTCGAAAACTTGGATTTATGAACTTTTAATGGCAGGCGCCGAACTTGGATACCTATGGCCACCCGAACAGGCACACTTTGACCCCTCCCTGACGCGCGTATCCACTTTTTTCGGTGGTCCGCGGCGCGCTTGGAAGAGCCTCAATAAAATCGCGCATAAAACTGGAGTTGCGTCAAATTTTATAGGGATCGTGTCATGGATCGGGTTGGGTTCATTTTGGTACATTTGCACTTGGATTGTGCAAAAGTATGGGCAGCTAAGGGTTCAGAAAACGTTTAGAGATTTAGTGGAAAACTACAGTTATGGTTTTTGAATTAATTTATCGATTTGCTAACATGATGTCGAAATTGATAATAACGGATTTTCAGAATACCGAAATTTCAGAATATTTGATTTTTTTTTTGCATAAGACTCGGGTGGTTTTCGGGAAAATTTGCTTATATAAATTTCGTCATTCTGAAATTTCCATATTATCGATTTCGGCACTATGTAATTTCGACATCACGAAAATTCGATTACGATTTTCGACATTATGAATTTCTTAAAACCGTACCTTTTAGTGCAACGCGTAGCTGTGTAGCGTTGATACGAATTCACTCAATTCTGCCGGTTTTCAGTTCTTCAGCATCCCATTATTATCAAAAGTATAAAAGCTGTTCCCAAAACCGACCGTCCCTCTCGCGTTCGTATTCCCCTCCCACCCACCCAACCAAAACCCAAGAATTCCTATCGGTGCCCTGCGAGGTCAGCATTTTCGTGGTAGTTCCTGCGATAAGCCCCTCTGGCGGTGCTTTGACCACCTCAGCAAGGTATTGTGGTGTTCACGTGAAGATTTAAACAACGTGAAGAACCTTGCAAGGATTAGCTGCAAACTTAAATAAATCAAAAATTAAACGTGCATTTTTAGGTTTTCACCTCCGATTCGCCGGATTACTGCCTGCCAAATCCGAGTCTCGGGATTTTGGGAACGAAGGGCCGAGAATGTAACGCGACCAGTTACGGAACTGATGGCTGCGAATTGGTAAGCAACTCACGCTACCTATCTCGCTCTCTCCTCTCTCTCTCTCTCTCTCTCTCTCTCTCTCTCTCGCTCTCTCTTTCTCTCCCTCACCTGCTCTGCCCAAAAATGCTAAATTTTTCTCTTAGCTATGCTGCGGCCGTGGCTACGAACGCGAAGTAAAAGTTGTCCAAGAAAAGTGCAACTGTAAGTTCGTCTACTGCTGCAAGGTCGTCTGCGAGCAGTGCACACGGTCTATCGAAAGACACTATTGTCTTTGAAACTACCTTATTGAAGTTGTCTTGGTCTCGTGGCCCAATTAAAGGGCTGCAGAAGAAACTTAAGCCTTGGCTGAGCCCAAGCCTAAGCTAAGCCTAAGCTAGCCCAAGCACATTTCTGCGGCCCTTTAAAAATTACCTCAAATTTTCGACATTTATTAAGCCTTTTCTTGTGTATTTTTCTTCTAGTGCCTTTCATATCTGCCATCCACTTGCCTCTAGTGTTCAAAAATTCTCGTTTATTACAACGCTCCTCTCAAAAAAGGTCTCATCTCCCCCGCCACCCGGAATCCTGGAAAATACACAGTGCAATTTATCCAATTTTCATGTGTGTTTTTGGAATATTTAAAATATATAATTGGTTTATTACCACATTAATTTCACATCGATAAATAATTAGAAACAGTGAAAAATGGAGTACGACACCACGCGACTATGGACAACTACAGTACCCTGACGGTCCGGCGAGATCAAATAACGGAAAAATTCAAAAGATAGGAAGGACAGAACATTATTAAAGCAGAAAATGACTGGCTTTGGTTGGGAAAATATCATAAAAATTAATCGATAGTGCCGGATTTGGCATACTGTAGAAAAATTAAAAACAGGAAAATTGGCTAACTGCCAAGGCTCCATAGAACAGGATAATACGGGAAAATCGATTAAATTAAAGCAGTTTAAGGTATAAAAACATGGGGCATTTGATGCTGTGGTAAAATAAAGTTAAAGACGCCAGCAAGGCAAAAATTATTTTTTCGATATTTAGACCTAAAAATTCGAAACAGTCTTGCTTTTCCTCAAATCGTTCCACTGCACGCTTTTCCGCTTGTTGGGCAGCGTCTTCGAGCGGCTTTTCACCATCTCGGCCGACGAGGCTTTTCGCATTTGTTTGCTGGCCGGGAACGTGGAAGCGGGATGCTAATTTAGAGCATAAAAAATTAAGTGGTTTTCATACCTGAATTTCGTACTTCTCCTCAGCGCCCATCAGTCGATTGGCCAGGGTGGAGAAGGCTTCAAAGCCATCGTCGCCCTCGGTTTCCATCAGAAGCGTAAAGAGGATTGATTCGAGCTCGGGGATTCTGAAAATTATCTTAATAATATTTTAATGATGATGATTTTAGATTTAAATTATGCTAATCAGTTAAATATCTTATTGATGGCGACTTTTTTGAATTTTTAAATTATTTTTGCCTAACAAAATTTATAGTTTTTGTTTCAAACCGATAAATTTAACCGATTTTAGAGCTCTTCATAAACACAATCGGAATTTATGACTTTTTTGTTCTATAAAAATTTGAAATTAAAATCACAGTACCTCGACTCGACCGTCTCCAGACACTTTTTCAGCACCTTATCCCGGAAGATCTTCAAAATCAATCGCCGGATGCAGAAAGACTCGTCGACGAGCTGAAACCAAAAAATTAACACACTTTTTCAGTAGGAAAAATTGATTAATGCTACTGTATTTTTCATAGTCTAATGTGGATCTTTTTGTACAACAATTTGGGCTCTACTTGCAGCAGCTTTTCCGTAGTTTACGGCACCCTAAGAAAACCGTAAACTTGTGTACATTTCTAAGCAATTTTGTACTTGCACACCCTGCTGGTAAGCCCCCAATTGAAGCGGCATTTTTTTGGGATGGTGATGCCGAAAGGGGGGGGGGCTTAATCCGGGTGTGATAAGGCCACACCCGGCGTGTGTGTCCAAAACTGTAGCTTGGGATATCTATGTGGAAAGGTCGTCAGGTTGGTGCAATCCAAAACGAGGGAATAATTTGCATACGTTTGAACCAATAGTTAACGACAGCTAAGCTAAGCCTAAGCCTAAGCTAAACCTAAGCTAAAGCCAAGTTATGCTCAAGCTAAGCCTAAGCTGAGCCAGAGCTAAGCCTCGCTAAGCCTAAGCCTAAGCCTAAGCCTAAGCCTAGGCTAAGCCTAAGCGCTTCTGTGACTTACGTACATTTTATATAAGTTTAACATAAGCTCATTTTTAGAAACGCACCGTTAATGTAAACAACACATCTTCCATCGTCGGGATGATCTCCTTGTACAGACGATCCCAAATCTGGAGCAGCTTGTAGACGTAGGAGAAGTCGTTGTGAACCTGGAAAAGTAGACTTAAAGCGGATTAACATAGCAAAACTTTAAAATTAATAATTTTTAAATATTTTTAAAGATTTCAATAAAAAAACACAATAAAGTCAAAATTAAACTTTGACAAACCTGCCCAAATTGGCTGTGACAGCATTGCAGGATTTGGCACGCGTTATTTTCGACGGCTGGGATGACGGCCTGGAAAGCAGAATTTAGAGAATTTTTGTTTTTCTCTCTCACTCTCTCTCTCTCTCTCTCCCTCTCTCTCTGGCTCTAGCTTCTTGTTGGTGAGCTACAAAGTTGGTACTAGACTACCAGTGGGGAAGGGGGGCTTTGATGAGGGCAGTAGATTTTCCCGGTAATCCCGTACAGATTACAGTACTTTGCGCGATTACAAACTATGAAACAACATGGCTTATAAAAATCGCTTCCCCCCCGCTAAGAACTAAGTGCCCGAAAATTACCGTAAGCCCTAAATTTCGGAAGCCATCGTAAACAACCTATTAGCCTGATAAAGATTGACTTCCAATTTTTGCTCATTAATCTGCCAAGCTTCTACCTTTGAATTAACAAATCTCTAGCCTGCTCCCATATCTCCAGGAGGCCAAAAACGGCCCCGGCCGAATGGCTATAAAATCAGGGCCATCAACGTTTTATGGGCCACAAGGAGACGGGCGCATTTTTGGAAATGTTGACAGCTGATGGAGAGGGAGCGGTATCAGGAGTATGGAAAACAAATAAAATAGACGAATAAACGGAGCAGTGAACGGTTTCCAGCTGATTTCGGGGGGTGTAAAATGGTGTAAGTTTTGGAGGACACCGGAAGTGGCGGTGTGAGTAATTAGGATTTGTCACCAGATAAAAAAAGATTAAGTTCCATTAGACTTCAAATTAGAGGGAGAGAGTGAGAGAGAGAGAGAGAGAGAGAGAGAGAGAGAGAGAGAGAGAGAAAGACCGCGTTCTATAGAGCGTTCGAGTGAGCGAGAGAGTGAGCATGAGAGCGTGAGCGTGAGCATGAGCAAGAGAGACAATTCAAGAGAGGTAATAGAGAGAAAGAAACAGAGAGCGAGAGGGAGAGTGAGCTAGAGGCAACAAGCGAGAGAGCGAGGGAGAGAAAAACACAGACAAAGATACACAAGGTGGGAGTGCGAGAGATAGAGAGCGCCGAGAAAGACCGAGAGCGAGCCAGAGTGAGTGTGAGAGAGCGATCACGCGTTTAAAAACTCACAATATCCTTCAAAAAGGTAATCAGCCCCATCTTTTGCTCATCTTGCAGATCCTCGATCTCAGCACAGAGCTTCACCCGATCCTCACAGCTACACTCACAACCACGCAACATTGAAAGCAGCATCAGCTCCATTCTAAAAAGTGAGTTTAGAATCTTAAACTACGCTGAGGTTTTCATCTTAAGATTAATCACTTACGATGGGTTGTTCCCGAATGGTGTCGACGTTTGGGGGGAATCTCGTGTGGAGAATTTCCGGCCTGCGAGCGACAGCTTCGGAGAGGGGAGCGGGGCTTTCGATGGTTTCAATATATAGGCTGAAAACAAAAATAATTGGAACGGTTTGGCAAGTACAAATCGTAGATCCTTAGCTGCGAAATATCAAAAAAAAATGCTGCGTTCGGGATCTGCTTTCCAAGCCGCTTAAGACGACTTTTGGCTTTTTCTCCATACGTTCTCTCATTCCAAAAGGCTCTCTGCTAGCCAACCAGTTTCTGAGTTGCAAAACACCCGAAAAACGGCTCAATTCCCCTAATTCCACTTGAAAACAGCTTACAGGTGTGCATGGACGGGTGGACGCCGGCCGACGAAAACAACATCTTCACGTGGGACGGAATTTTGGCGGATTATAGGCAGCTGGGAAAAGCTGGAAAATTGAGGGTCCAGAAATTCGAAAACAAAGTTTATCGATGATTATTGTGTTATTGAAAGAGTGTGAGAGTGATGGAGCGAGAGAAAGCAAGAGAGAGAGAGAAAGAGAGAGAGAGAAAGAGAGAGAGAGATAGAGAGTAAGAGAGAGAGAGAGAGAGAGAGAGAGAGAGAGAGAGAGTGAGTGAGTGACTGCGGAAGGGATTTTTGAATGACGCGTACGCATCACCCTCACGTGGGGGCATTGTGATATGAAAAATCAAAGCGGAATGGGTGACAAGGAGAAGCGCAAACTTGGCTTAAACTTGAGGCGTAAGGTTTTTGAATAAAACGCTAGTGTTTTTTTAATAAATAAAAAGCTAGTGATCCTATAAAGTTAGAGTTGGTTACAAAGGTATACCTCGAATTACGCTAGTAAGGGTCGGTGAAGACCACAGATATGTAAATTTTGCGACAGGTAACTTTCAATGTTGTAACGGTACGAAAGATGAATGCCTTAATGACATCAAATAGTTTCATTAATACAAATGTTCTTAAGGTGAAATTGTTGCAGAATCAGTGTGGCATAGGTGTAGCTTTAAAGGTATTTATTACGGTTTAATTACGGATTCTAGAGAACAAACAAGGCTCAACACTGAAAAAAAACCCATTTATATCCAAAATGGTGTTTTGTTGGTTCCTTCAAAGGAATCCTATTCCTGACGGAAAAATCTAGAAATGCAAAGCTGCAAGGAAGATTGATTTCCCAATTTTACAAATGACGCTATGCGACCAGCTTGAAACCTAGGCCTCAAAAAAACACCCAAAAGCCATCAAATTCGGAATTCCACCAAAAAGGCATGAAAATTGGACTGAAACCACCGTATTGTGATTCACACCCGCCAAAAGGACTGGACGACCCCGGGCTCGGCCTCCTTATCTACCCCCTCCAATGTTTTAGGGCAGCTTATAACCCCGTGGCGACCTGGGCTGGCTTTTTCTCTGCATCTCCTACTCCTAATGATTTCTCTCTCGCTCTCTCGCCTCGCCTCTAATTTCTGATCGGACCCGCCGGACCCCTCCGTCTCCCCACCTGGCGGCCAAAAGTTCAAATAGGCAAAGAAATTTCTGGGGATTGAGTTGCGGATTACAAAGCGCTCTTTTGGGACTTAAGCTGAGAATAAGCCGCCTTATGTTTGGAAGTTATTTTTGTGGAAGGAAAATGTTTTGGTTGGGGCTCGCAAATCTTTCAATGTCTCTTCTCTCCCTGTCTCTCTCACTCTCTCTCCCTCTCTCTCTGTCTCTTTCTCGCTTCTCTCTCCCACCCTTTCACACGTATTTCTGAGCATTTTAAAGAAGTTGGGAATGCCAGGATACCATTTTCTTTGCCTAGATCTCGACCGACACGCAACGCAGCTACATAGCTTAGCGACCGACTGGGTGCCTTACGTTAAGCGCACCCAGCCACTTAGTACAACCCGATCCGATCGGACCCCAAAACTAGACGATAAGCGCTTAATCTTAAAGCTTCAGATTTATAGAAGCCGCCCACCCTAATCAAGTGCAAAATATTGGCCCAGCCGCCTTGTGCCTAACCACCAGCATCCCGGGGGTGCCCGGGAACAATGGGATTCATATCAAGGCGCCACACAGACCCAAAAAATTGTTGGCGTGCCCGGTCCGTACCTGGCACACGTGACTACTGATGCCGCGATGCAAAATCACCGTAATGGAATGGGGCTCAACAAACATAACGAGCTCTCCAGGGCTACAGGGTGTCCCAAAAAAAAAGACCCCCCCAAAAATTTGAGCCAGAGGGCACCTACGGAGCTGAAAATTTGCACAGAGGTAGCGAAGGCAATTTTCTATGAACAAGGAAAGTTTCAGCCCGATCGGCCAGCGGGTTTTAAAATTATAGCGAAAATACTTTTCATTTTTAATTTAATATGGGGATCTTTGAAATTTGCATCAAAGATATGCGTTATTCTTGCATTTACGAGCCGATTTTGCATAAATTTCGCTGAAAAGTGCCATTTTCTTGATGGAGCTTTTGGAAAACGATTGCTCATGTAGCGAGAAAATGATGAGCAAGAACGATGAATACCAGACCTCATGGCGGAAACTATCGTTGAACGCTTGAGCTTGGCTTAAACTTCAGCGTAAGCACCAACATAAGCCCAAATCTAAACTTCAACACTGTTTTCGAGCTCGTCGAACTCTGTTTTCGGGCCGACGAAGCTCAAATTGCCAAAATGTACAATAAGACGTGATTTGGAACGATAAAACAGTTGTTTTAACACTCTTTTTATTCTTCATACGCAATCGTTTTCCAAAAGCTCCATCAAGAAAATGGCACTGTTCAGCGAAATTTATGCAAAATCGGCTCGTAAATGCAAGAATAACGCATATCTTTGATGCAAATTTCAAAGATCCCCATATTAAATTAAAAATGAAAAGTATTTTCGCTATAATTTTAAAACCCGCTGGCCGATCGGGCTGAAACTTTCCTTGTTCATAGAAAATTGCCTTCGCTACCTCTGTGCAAATTTTCAGCTCCGTAGGTGCCCTCTGGCTCAAATTTTTGGGGGGGTCTTTTTTTTTGGGACACCCTGTATATTTGGCCTATTTTTTGTGTGTGATAACCTGAAACTGGGGGTCCGTGGGGGCGTTTTTTTAACCCAGCGAATCACATCTGCCCGAATTGCATCCCATCGAATTGCATCCCATCGAAATTACATCCCATGGAAATTACGACTCATCGCCATTACGACTCATCAAATTACGATTCATCGAAATTACAACTTCTCGAAATATCGGTTTTTGTCAACCAAATTTTTTTCGGTCCAAGCCTAAATTTTTTGATGAATAGCGGATGCGTTTCTGCATGGTTTTTAACTATTTCTAAGCCTAAAAAACTATACAGATTTTTATTAAAAATTTAATTTTAGGTCGAGAAACGGATTTTTTTCGGCCAAGAATGACTAAAATTGGACCGGGCAAAAATTAGTATTTTTTGAAAATTCGCTTAGCTGACATTTCTATGAGTCGTAATTTCGATGAGTCGTAATTCGATGAGTCGTAATTTCGATGAGTCGTAATTTCGATGGGATGCAATTCGATCAGATTTAATTCGATGGGATGATAGCAAATCGGTCCGTGGGCTATTTTTGGCTTATCGAATGTTGTAAAGGCGGAGGAAGGAATTTGAGGGTTGAAAAAGATTTGTGGGAGCTGTGAGAGTATAGACAACGGGCAAGTCCACACTGACAAATAGCCTTGGCTTTGCCATCGGAATTTCGAAATTCATACAATGAAAATTCAAATGCATAATACCGAGATTGCATGATTTCAAGATTGAGAATGTCGAAATTGCATCACGTCGAATTTTCATGTCGAGAATTCATGCTTTCAAAAAGTTAGAAGGTTGGAACACTAAGATCTCGACCTTTTGACGCAATTTCGCCACATTTTGTCTGTGTTACGCATGGATTACGCTCTATAAATCGGGTTTTTCTGCACCTTCCATGAAATTTCATGATTTATCCTAGCAGGAAAGAACAGATTAGCACAGAAACAGCTCAATACACCAACGCGATAGTCCGTCCATTCATATACAGCTTCTGGAATTTAGGGTGAAATCACAAATCTCAATGGCGTGTGGGAAGAAAGAGAGTAGAAATATGCAAGTAATACGGGTAAATACTTCTGACTAGCACCGGTATAAGATCAGCTTCGGAAGCATTTTGCGAGAGAGCGAGAGAGCGAGAAAGAGAGAGAGAGAGAGAGAGAGAGAGAGAGAGAGAGATAGAGAGATAGAGAGAAAGCGAGAGCGAAAAAGTGAAAGAAAAATGGAAGATAAACATCAAAAATTTGTGATAATCGTTATTTTGGCCTAGCAAATAGGTGGGGGAAGCTTTCGGAGATAGAGCTCTCGAGCTCCGGTGAAGCCGAGATGGCATCACGATACTCATCTGGAGCTGAAAAAATGGTTTAACGTGGTTGTAAAGCTATAGCGTATGCATCGACCGCTACGTTACATTCCAATTGGGGAGCTAGAGCATTTAATAGAATTCCGATACCTCTCAACATTGGTGTAGCCTCATCACCCTCCTCTTCATCCTCTTCATCATCTAATGGATCTTGGAACCGATCAAAGTCCCCGTAATTTGGAGTCCGGTGTACTGCCGGGTAATCATCATGGGCGTCCGGTGGACCATAATCATTAAGGAACAGGATGCTTTCCGGGGGCTTTCTCCCGGGTATCGGTGTCTGATCAGGGTCCCGCCCCGAATCTGGGCTCGTCAGGTCGGCTTCAGGTGAAGCCAGGCTTGGACGGCTTTCGATAGGCGCCACAGCTTCTGGTGCTGGGTCATTTGAGAAGCGGTGAGGATGGAAGAGACTAAAAAAACAGACTTTTTGGACTTTTTAGCGAAACTAGTCAAGCTAACGAAGTATTTATGGAAACTTTTGGGGCCAAAAATACAATAACTTTTAAATGAACCGGAAAGACCAGATAATCTCGGGAAAATTCTGGACATTCGAGAAACTCACGTTGGCCTCGATAAGGAGGCTGTGGTTGTCTCGTCCTCGCTGCTCGTGCTAGCTTGGAGGGATCCTGAAACTCGAAGTCGGATGTTAGTTATGCTACCTCTATGCTAAGCCTAAGCTACCTAAGCCAAGCCTAAGGCAACTTTAGCTAAGCCCAAGCTAAGCCGAAGCCCATTCTTGAACCCAGAAATTTCAAGTTTTCAAGCAAATTAAGCCACTTACCAAAGTCCCGATCAATCAACTGCCCAGCCGGTGTGGTCTGGGTTACGGTCTAAAATAAATGCCATTTTTTTCATCTAACGATCCGGATCTCTAAAAATCAGCTATCCTACCGTATTCCGATCGATCGGCTCAAACTCGGGCCAGTCGTTGAACACCGATTTTACGTACGGGGAACGCGGGCTGGTCGCTTCTTCATCTGCCT